AGAAAAAAACAAATGTAAAAAAGTGTAGAAAAAATTGGTTAAAAAAAAGAAGAAAAAAACAGCAGAACTTCGCCTGAGAATAAACGACTAAAAAACACATGAAAATTTTTGCAAAAAAAAGTAAATGCTTTATTGATAGATCAAAATTTCAGTTTTTTTTTTCTTTGTTCTTCAAAGGGATAAAATAAATTTAAAATAATAAAAGGTGATGGCAGAAAACAATTGTGAATATCCTATACTTAGGTTGAACTAAAGTTTGAAAACATTTAAAACAGTAATGTGGGTAATTTTTGTGCATACAACACAACATTAATGCCCCCCCCCCCTCCCGTATACCTGAATACATCTTTGGTATACTGCTAATACGACTGAGTTAACAGTTTCAACAAGAAACAACAGCAAAAAAAAAAAGAGAAAGCTTCACCAATTCCCCCATAAACATTTGGTTCCTGTGTTTTCCTTTGTCTTCTTCCCTTTACAACCCCCTTCCCAAACTGTCACCATTTCACCACCTCCTCATTCAACTCACCAATTCAAACAGTTCACCAATTTTATTTTCTTTTCAAATAACAACAGGTTAACAAGGAAGAACTGTCATCTTCACCCAAATCTTATCCTTCTATCAAATTTGTTTCTTTTTTTTTTTGTTATAATGTTTTTTTTACTAAACAAACAATGACAATAGGACTAATATAATATATTTGAAGAGAAGAAGATGAAAAAAAAAAGAGTAAAAATAAAATTAAAATAGAGTCAAAAAAGGAAAAAAAAAATGCTTTTTTTTTGAATAGCATTCATCACATGGGGCTGCTCTTCAAAATAGAAATACTTCTTTGTTGTTGTTGTTGTTGGGTTGCTACTGCTGCTGCTGACTAGAAGAAATTAACATTTGCAGATATGCAGAAGTTGACAAGAAATGGAAGAAAAAAAAATAGAGCTAAAAACGATAAATAAACAAAACAAAATGAAAGGAGAAGAGGAAAAAAAAAAAAAAAAAAAAAAAAAAAAAAAA